CATCAAACTCAAATAAAAAAAAAAATAATAGTGTAAGTACTATTCATTATCTCAATACAGAATATTTTTAACTATATTTTATGTCTTTAATTAAAAAAATAGCATATTAAAATCCATTCGTTTTAATTATCTTTCTTATCTAAGACTCGAACTTAGACTAAGGTATTAGGAATATCTTGTTCTACCATTAAACTAATAAGAATTTTTTAATACGATATATATATCTATAAGATGAAATGAATGGTTATTACTACATAAATAGTGATTCTTATCTAAGACTCGAACTTAGATTCAGATATTAGAAGTATCTTGTTCTACCATTAAACTAATAAGAATTTTTATATTAACTATCTAATAAAAATATTATAATACATAAATGTAATATAATTTATTTAAGATCCTCTATATATCTAGAAAAAAAAATAAAATGTGAATCTAAAAAAGGGTTCTATGTTTTCATAATCATTAAGCGGGTTATGTTTTAGAGTATATACATTACATTACTATTAAATTATATAAAAATCATAAAATTTCGTTTATTATGTTATATAGCGATTAAATTATTTTATTTTAGAAGAGATAAACTGTAAACCCTAAAAAAGAGGGGTTGTATATTTCCATAATCATTAATCCGGGTTCTGTTTTAGAGTATACCCATCATACTTCTATCATTTTTTATATAAAAATAATTTTATATTTCTAATCTTCATTGGCTATTAAAAAAAATAGTAGTTGGATTCTTAGAGCTTTTAAGGGAGCTTTAGATAAAGTTTCCTAAAATTATTGTTAATTTACAATTAACTTGTTATGAAAAATTGTTCGTGTATCATATATAGTACATGTTACATAGTAGTATAACAAATCCCAGTTTATAAATACTTTTTATTTACTGGAAAATTGCATTACAATATTTGTACAGCAATTAGGGAAAAGAATGAACCTATAATTCTTAAAGCCCAATAAAAAGAAAATAAAAAAAAAAGAAATTAGCTCAATAGGTAGAGTATCCGTCTTACACGCGGAGAATGTGGTGTTCGAATCACTTATTTCTTGTGGAACGTTTATTTATTTTATTAATGATGAAGTGATTGAAACATCTTGATTATTTAAAATATAAAGTTTAAGTTGTTAAGTCAGAAGAAATAAATATATATGCAGAGTGTTTTGGGTGTGGTTTTCAAAAAAAAAAGACGTATTATGAACTTATAATAAAAAATTATGTTAAACTTAAATAGAAGTAATTTTCAAGCACATCCTTTTCATTTAGTATCTCCTTCTCCATGACCTTTATATACATCAATTAGCTTATTAAGCCTTACTACATCTGCAGTTCTATCCTTTCACGGATTTGCTTATGCAGAATATAATTTACTGATGAGTCTAACATCACTAATATTAGCTATGTCATTCTGATTTAGAGATATAATAGCAGAAGGTACATATATCGGTCACCATACTTTAGCAGTACAAAGAGGGTTAAACCTTGGTGTTGGTTTATTTATAGTATCTGAAGCTTTATTTTTCTTAGCTATATTCTGAACATTTTTCCATAGTGCTCTTTCTCCTGCAGTAGAGTTAGGAGCCATGTGACCTCCTATGGGAATAGAAGCTATAGATCCTTTTGAATTACCGTTAATAAATACAGTTATTTTACTTGCTTCAGGGTTTACTGTTACATATGGACATCATTTTTTAATTAACGGAAAAAGAAGTAAAGCCTTATATGGTTTATTATATACTATAATATTAGCAACTATATTCACAGGATTACAAGGTGTTGAATATTCAGTATCAACATTCACTATTTCAGATGGAGCTTTTGGATCATGTTTTTACTTTGGAACAGGGTTAATCTAAGCCCCTTTTTTAATTACTATAAATAAATTAATAAAAATATTATGTATGTTAAGTAAAAAGTAAATTTTTAATTTACCATTAAGATAAAAATATCGTTATTGTAAAAAGTATTTTTGTAGTAAATTCATGTATGTTTTAATAGGTAAATGTAGGTTTAATAGAAAACAGGGGAAATTGCATAAAACTCCTACTTTATGGGGGATGATATGCAGCCAATAATAAACCAGAAAAATGATGGAATCATTTTTGTATTAAGTATGGTTTATTAAGGTTCAACGACTAAATGAATTCTTATCGACAAGAATCTTATGATAAACCCTGCAATTTATTAAATTGTAAATTGATGACATAGTCTTAACCATTTTTATAAAAAATGGAAATAAAGGATAAAAAGCCTTTTATATTGTCCATGGATTACACGTAATGATAGGTACAGCTTTTTTAGCTGTTGGTCTGTGACGTGTACTAGCTTATCATTTAACAAATAATCACCATCTAGGATTAGAAGCTGGAATTCTTTACTGACATTTTGTTGATGTTGTATGACTATTCTTATTTGTATCTATATATTATTGAGGATCTTAAAGTTAAGTAGTTAGGTTAATACTATACAATTTTTCTCAGAATAATTTAAGGGAAATAATTACTAGATCTATCTAGTAAAAGTGGGAGTTCGAATCTCTCTATTCTGAAATGTTATTAAATTCATTAATGTGCTTATTATTATCTAACTCAACTACATCAAGACGTGACAAATCCATCTTATATTCAAGATCCACTATTACTATTTTGTTGATTTCAGGTTTTATAGCTATTAATAGTTTATGTCTTCTGTTTTTAGCAAAAGGTATAGGAATATTTGGTGGATTGTTCCATACTACGGCTACTACCAATTTTTTTCATGTTTTTATATTTCTAATAACTAGTGTTATATTATTATTAACTTCATTTTATCCTAGAAAAGTTTGATTAAAAGAATATAGCAGCCCAAATAGACTTTTATTTACTAAATTAATCTATTACGGAACTCTGTTATTAAACAAAATGGGAGAACAATTTAAAATTATAGAATATTCTTTAATCATTCTATTTATTGTTACAGGAAGTGTTTTTCTAATATCTACAAGTGATTTAGTATCTATATTCCTATCTATAGAATTACAAAGTTATGGATTGTATCTACTATCAACCATATATAGAGATTCAGAACCAGCTACATCGGGTGGTCTTATGTATTTTTTACTAGGAGGATTATCATCCTGTTTCATATTATTAGGTACAGCTTTACTTTATTCAAATTCTGGTACTACGAACTTAGATAGCCTATATATAATTACTAGCATATCTAACATAAGTAAAGATAATCTTACAGGCTTACTTTATTGATACAAATCTTACTATATCCATATAAGTTTACTATTTATGGCAGTAGGGTTTTTATTTAAAGTTTCCGCTGCACCATTTCATTTCTGAAGTCCTGATGTGTATGACGCTATACCCACCGTTGTTACAACTTTTGTAGCTATAATAGCAAAAATATCTATTTTCATTTTCTTATTAGAATTAGTACACTATACAAATAAACCATTATTTGGTTTGGATTTCTCTTGAACAACTAGCTTGTTATTTAGCTCTCTTTTATCTTTAGTTATAGGAACGGTTGTAGGATTAACACAATCTAGAATTAAAAGACTATTTGCGTTTAGTACTATATCACACGTAGGATTTATATTATTAGGTTTAAGTATACACACTGTTGAATCAACACAAGCTTTTATGTTTTATTTGATTCAATATTCTATATCAAATTTAAATGCTTTTATGTTGATTATTACTATAGGTTATTCTTTATATTGTTATATAAATAATGATAAGTCTATAAGTAGCATTGGAAAAGAAGAGAGTACTAAAGGGGATAATGAAAACAGTGGTAATTTACATGATGTAAATAATTCTCCTATCCAACTTATTGATCAATTAAAAGGATTTTACTATATAAATCCTATATTGTCCTTAAGTTTAGGGATCACTTTATTCTCTTTTGCAGGAATACCACCCTTAATAGGATTCTTTGGAAAACAGATGATCTTAAGTGCAGCTATTGATAACGGGTATATTTTTATGGCATTAGTTGCTATATTAACAAGCGTTATAAGTGCTGTATATTATTTAGCTATAATAAAACAAATCTTTTTTGATAAACCAGATTACACCTTAAACGATGAGCTAGTAAGTTATAAAGCAGACGGTTTAATTACTGAAAAAAACACTATTGTTAGAAAAGTTAATATAAAAATTAACAATATTGTTATATCAAGCTCATTAAGTTTATCTATTTCAATAATCACATTAATAATCACATTATTTATTTTTATACCAGAAGAATTATTAAGTTTAGCTAATATATTAGCATTAATACTATTTAATTTATAAATGTCAAGTACAACTTTTTTTATTATCCTTATACCTATATTAGCTATTATATTATTAGCTGTTAATTTGATATTAGCACCTCATAATCCTTATCAAGAAAAGGATAGCGTATTCGAATGTGGTTTCCACTCTTTTTTAGGGCAAAATAGAACACAATTTAGTGTTTCATTTTTTATTTTTGGTCTTCTTTTTCTTTTATTTGATCTAGAGATATTATTAATGTACCCTCTTGGTACCAGTCTTTATACTAATGGTATTTATGGTTTAATAATTGTGATGTTATTTTTTACATTTTTGACTTTTGGACTTATATTTGAATTAGGTAAAGATGCATTGACAATAGATACTAGACAATCAGCTTCATATAAAGTAGATACAACTACACCATCTAGGCTTTTTGGTGATTTTGCAACTCATAATCCTAATATTCCTATTTTAACTTCTGGACTTAAATTTTAATTAGGTAAAGATGCATTGACAAAAGATACTAGACAATCAGCTATAAAGTTTTCTAAAATTAGTTTTTTACAATTAACTTGTTATGAAAAATTGTCCGTGTACCATTTAAAGTACATGGTACATAGTGGTATAACAAATCCCAATATATAAACTATTTTTTATTTACTGGAAAATTGCATTACAATATTTGTACAGCAATTAGGGGAGAAGAGTAATGTATATTATTATAGCCTAATCATAAATCCTATAAAAAAGAAATTAGCTCAATAGGTAGAGTATCCGTTTTATACGCGGAGGGTGTGGTGTTCGAATCACTTGTTTTTTTTTATTTTTTTTTACCTTTTGCTAATTATAAGTGCATATAAAGGCAAAAAGGGGATAAATTCAATAAAAAGGTATATCCATATATAATATAATTATAATTATAATGGATGAGCACCTCCTTTTAACTAATATAGTTAATTTATTATTAGATACATACTTTGGATAAAAATTTATAGTAATGTATTTGATATGTCTTAAACCATTCTCATAAGGGTTAAAGTCCCTTAGATATTATAAAATATATACGGCTATAGGTTAAGGGTAGACTATTACATGTAGTTACGGTTACAATTTCTTTTCTTAGCAGATATATTAAAGAAGGTAAAGCTTGTAAGGGGTATAATGTGACACGGAAAAAATAGAAAGGAAGCTAGGAGCAATTTAATTTAGGTATAGGCAATTAAAGAGATATTCTATTATAGATGATTGTATTTATTTCTAACAAAAAATAGCGGCCATAGGATAATTGGTGAGTCCACTCGTCTTCCAAACGATTTGTACCGATTCGAGTTCGGTTGGCCGTATAGGGTCAGTAACTTAATGGTAGAGGACTTTCTTGTCACGAAAGTAGATATCGGTTCAAGCCCGGTCTGACTCGTAAGTTTTTTATAGTTAATTTTTGAATCTTATATATAAGTTCTTAATAATTTACTATTAAGCTAAAAGCTTTTGTAGTATCTATGTAAGTTAAATTTTAGAGTAACTTCCTATTTTCATTTAATTACCGGTATGAGTTCAACTTCTATTTTACATTTAATTTCCGTTATAAGTTTAACTTCCATTCTATACTTAACTTCCATTCTATACTTAACTTCCATTCTATACTTAACTTCCATTCTATACTTAACTTCAATTTTAGTCAAAATGATTACAATAAATAATTTTTACAATAGCAAGTTAAAGGAAAAGTTGCTATAGGTAAGGCGAGATATTTGCTAAATATTGTGTTTAACACCTGGTGGTTCAAATCCACTCTTTTCCGAACATAAGTATGATATTTTACACGTCTAGACCGATAATATAAGTTATGGGTAATTACAATAACTTAATTATTTTAAGTTCAGTATACTTATGTAATATAGCTATATATATTCATATATAGATATTTTATAGGTACTTATAATGAAAACAACAAATCTTTTAAAGGATTAATGAAAAAGAAATAAAAAGTCTTAACTTCAAAAAAGGTGTTATATAAATTATTACAGTTTAATATTAAATGTCTTTTTATTAAGCATTAGGGTTCAATTTTAAATAAGGTATAATTACTAATTTTAAAAAGAGTATAGTTTAATTGGTAAAATAGGAAGCTTCAAACTTCAAATTTCCAGTTCAAGTCTGGATGCTCTTGTTATAACATTATATAATCAATAAATATATAAGTTTTAATACTTTTATTCTTGAATAGTTTTAACTTGATAATCTTTTAACAGACTTATATTTTCATATATTACATATGTAATGAAGGTTCCTTAGCTTAATTGGTAAAGCGCATTTTTGATAAGGATGTGATCGACGTTCAATTCGTTGAGGAATCATTAAGGTGCGTTAGTTAAATTGGTATAACGATATGCTACGGACATGTTCTTACAAGTTCGAGTCTTGTACGCACTTCTACTTTTATGATAAACTTATTTTATGTTAGGTTTATTTTATGTTGGATTCATTTTATGGTAAATTCATATTATGATACCCTAATTTTATGGTAGATTTACTTTTACGGTAGATTTACCTTTAGTGTAGATTTACCTTTAGAATAGATTACTTGAAGGTATAAAGGTTTTGTTTTTTTTATCATACAAACTAAAAAGAGAATTGACTGAGTGGCTTAAAGTGATAAGCTTGAAACTTATTTGGTTGAAAAATCACATCCGTTCGAATCGGATATTCTCTGTTAAATTTTGATAGATTCTATTTTATATTTTGATAAATCATCTATTTTATCTCTATAGATAATTTTATATTTTTAGAAATAAACTATCTGTTACATAATATAAGTATGTTACACGATATATTTATATAGTACATCGAATATTATAAGCGGGTTAGAGCCAGGTTGGTTAGGCGCCTCATTTGGGTTGAGGATTTGTTATGTTCGAATCATAATAACCCGAAATATGATTTTAAATAATTGTATATAAAAATATATAGTAATGTATTTGATATGTAATGTATTATTTCATAATTTTATTACCTTATTAATATTTATACAATATATTGTAAGGACTAATTTTATGGCTAGTATATAAAGAGACTATTATGGGAAAATAAAAAGCTGTATATTAAACCGTAAGTACCGTAAAAATGGTGGAGTAATATCCATTAATTAGGGAAAATGGTAGAAGAATTTCTAAAAGAAAAACGAAGTGAATTGAAGTATCTTATTAGCTTCAGGAAAATAAATCAAACGAGATTCTATTAGTAGTGTGAATGAAAATAGATATAGGCTTAAAGTAAAATGGATTAATCTGTTTGAATATAGGGGAACCTTCCTCTAAGCCTTAATATAATATACAAGAAATAGAGAATAGTACTGTGAAGGAAATATTGTAAATAGTAGTCTTATAAGCAGCTCAAGATAAGTTTAACAAACATATAAGAGCGTACCTTTTGTATAATGGGTCAGCAAGTTCTAGTTAGATGCAAGCAAGTAAGGATTAGTGATGTTATAGAATGATATAGATACACGAGAAATAATCAATTTGCCTAGATAATCCAATTATTAAGTAATGAATTAGTATCTAATTAGAGACCCGAAGAGTAGTGATCTTACCATGGTCAGGCTTATAAAAGGCCGAATGGTTTATCGTTGTAAAGATATCCAAAGAACTGTGGTAAGTTAGTGAAAGACAATCCTGACTACTATAGCTGGTTTTCCGCGAAACATATGTAAGTATGTAGTTTAAATAACATCATAGCAGGTACAGAACTGTAATCTCGGACAATTTGTGCATTAGTATTCTTTGAGTATTTATACTTATTAGATTATGTAATGCCTTGTGCATATGGGGGGGTCGTGAAGACTCTATTCGCGAGTATTTGCTCTCGGAAGGGCAATGATGAGTGTTGAACTATCAGACATTTAACGATAAGGTTGTGTGTCAAAAGGGAAACAGCCCAGAACAAGTGTTTAAGGTTCCAAAGTTTTTGTTAAGTGAAAGTAAGGAAGTATTTAAACTATACAACCAGGAAATAGGCTTAGAAGCGGCCATTTTTTAAAGACCTCGTAACAGAGCACTGGTTCAAATGGTTAATCAATTAACCTAATTAGTTAAAAGCGCCGAAGATATAACGGATCTAAAACAAAACACCGACACCTTGTCCATAATTATAATAGGTTAAATCTTGTAATAAGTTTAAAATTTAATCCTATTTAATATACTTAAATACTATTTAAGTATTATTTATGGGGTAGCGGAACATTGGGTAAATAGGATTCAAAATGGGTAATCTTTTTTTAATTTATAAAAACTAGATCACATCTATTTTCACAATTACATATGTAATTTGCTCGTTAAATAGCGAGTTTCCATTAATATCCCAAGTGAGAATGCTGACACGAGTAACGAAAAAGAGGATGCGAACCTCTCGCCTTAAGCTTATGGGAAAGTTAATCGGTCTCTAAATTAAACCTAAAGGATAAAATGATGAGGTGATTATATGTGACAACATAAAGAAGTTGAGTAAAATGTTCTGGAAAAGCATATAGTCTGAGGATGTAAATAAAATACTAGTAAATAAACTGATAAGATTATACTAGACTTCCTTAAGAATATGAAACCGTACCTAAAAACTACCACAAGTAAGCTAGTAGAGAATACGAAGGCGTTTGAGCTAACAATCATTAAGGAACTCGGCAAATTGACACCGTAACTGAGGGAGAAGGTGTGCCATTCCTACTGATTAATATCAGTTTAGGAAGAGGAGACATAAAATGGTGTTGCACGACTGTTTAATTAAAACACAGCACTTTGCGTAAGATGTAAATCAATGTATAGAGTGCGCTATCTGCCCAATGATGGCTGGTTAACGGATTTACTTAGACGACTAAAATAGGCTAGGTTTTGAAGGAACCCCCATTTAATGGCGGCCTTACCTATGAGGGTCCTAAGGTAGCGAAATACCTTGGCATTTAAATGATGTCGCGCATGAATGATCTCACGATGCAACAGCTGTCTCAATGATTGGCTCAGTGAAACTGGAATGGCAGTGAAGATACTGCCTATCTCTAGATAGACGAGAAGACCCCATGCAGCTTTACTGTTACTAGTTATAGGGTATAATTTAACAGGTTTTAGGGAATAAGGTAGTTGAATGACAAAATTGAAACACCTTTACTCTGGTTGTTATATCAGTAGAATAGGTTACATTATTGTAACTGACGTCTGAATGTAATCCATAAAAGGAGGGAGATCACATCAAGCTCAGGAGACAATGGCTAGCAGATGGTTTATGCGGGGCACAGATCCCATAAAGAGTACCTGGGAGTATCCAAATTTATTTTTGTAATATGCTATACGCAAATTATATAGGGCTTTATTAAATAATTGCCTTATATATTTTAATTTTTTTAATTACTATATTTAGTTTGTTATTTTTTATATTTACTTTTCTCAAAGTATCTATGACTAATTCAGTTATATTTCTATTTAAGTTAGAACTAAAACAATTTAATATAAGTAAGATTTTACCTATGTGGAAAATAGGTGTATATATAGTATTAATAATGAATATCACATTGTTGTTTATACAAGATAAATTATAACACTATTAGTTATTTTTTCTTATCGAATTTAGATAAGAAAAAATGATGTTGATATATACTTCCAAAGTTTAATGGCTTAATCTTGCTTTACTGTTTGACATACACGTCTATCAGTTGCGTAAGCAGGGCATAAAGACCGCAAGACGCAGTAAGGAAAGGTCTTGTATTATTGAAAAAGCTACGCTGGGGATAACAGGCTAATTGCGCCAGAGAGTACAAATTGAGTGCGCAGTTTGG